ATAATTTTATTGGACTATTAGTCCAATCCCAAGCTCATGTCCACCTAAACAAATATGGCCTTAATGTCATCAACAGCCGTTCCTGCTTTGATTTCTAAGGCATTGGCTGCACCGTGGAGAGTGCTGGTTGCAAATAAATACTGCCAAACTTTTGACATATCCTTGTTGAATTTCCCTTTGGAGGTGTTTGGTTTGAGGGATTGAGGGGGTGGGATTGGACTATTAGTTTATCTGGATTAATAATTCGTTGTTTGGTTCAAAATTTTGGCATCGGACTAATAGTCCCAAATCCATTGGACTATTGTGTCCCATGGGGGGTGGGACACAAATGGAGGAACAAGGGGAATATGGGATTAGGTGATGAAATAATTATTTTGACCTTCTATTATTTAATTGTGTATTATATTTAGTAAAATTCAATAAAATTTAAATGTCTCAATTTAAAAATAAAATAATTTTATTTAATTTTTATTGATGTATTATTTATTTAATTTTTTAAAATAATTTTTTATAGATAGTTTATTGATGTTTTATCTTAAAATTTTATTTATATTTTATTTAATTTCATTATTTAAATTTTAATAGATGTTTTATTTAATTTCATTATTTAATTATTATTATTTTTAAAAATAAATTTATTTAATTGTGTAAAAAATAAAATAAAATAAAATTTTATTTATCTAGTTAAAAATAATTAAAATATTAAAGATATGTTTAATATTGCTATTACTTGGTAAATAATTAAAAATGATAAAATAGTCATTTGAACATTTATTTTTCTCTATAGTATCTTAAACAAATATAGGATTCATATCCTATTCTATCCAACTAAATAGTCATTTCCTGACATCTAATTTCATGACTAAACAAATATGAGATATAAATGTAGTCCAACAAATAGTCCGAGGATAATGTATCCTAGGATTGACAGTCTGGTGGATTCCAATCCCTTCTTAGAGCATCTTTAACGGCAAGCTATTTGAGCTGCCATTGTCAAAATTTGACACGAGTTTTAAAAAATGTTACTCCAATGGGCTGCTATAACCTCTGCCAAATTTGGCAAATGCCATTTCATCTTTCAAGTTTGGCAATTGCCAAACTTGCCACATCATCCAAATAAACAAAATTTGGCTCCAAAATTTTCATGGAAGAAATAAATGCAGTGGAACAATAATACACTAGAGATGGAACAATAATATAAAATAAAATGAAAACACAGGGGAACAAAAAATTTGCCATTACAATAAATTTTTGGAGAAATTATTACCAGAGATGGAACAATATATTCCAACTTTTCAAATTTCAACTTTCTAAATTTCAACATACCAAACACACAATCACCAAATTTTCAATTTTCCAAATTTCAATTTCATTAATTTGAAGCAAACAAAATTTAAAAAATAAATAAATTAGAAAATGAACACAGTGAAGTAAAAAAAAATACTTGACAGTGAGAGAGAGAAGAGAGATAGATGATCTTCTTTGTGTTCTTTGATACAGATGATTCTACAGATGATATAGATACGTAATCTTCTTGGTGTTCTTTGATACAGATGATATAGTGAGAGAAACAGAGGGATAGGGGTAGACGGCAGTGAGAGGGAGATGGAGAGTGAGAGTGAGAGGGAGAGAGATAGATTTGGAGGTGGATTTGTGAGATTTGGAGACATGGATGATCGATTCAAAAGGAACTGGTGATGGACAGAGAAGAGAGAGACAGAGAGTAAAGAGAGGCGGAGGTGATGGATGGAGAAGAGAAAGAGGAGAGCAGAGAGGGGCAGAGGTGATAGATGGAAAAGAGAGAGACGAAGAGTAGAGAGAGAGAGAGACTCTCGGTGATGGAGGGAGAAGAGACGATATTTGAGAGTAAGAGAGAGAGAGAGAGAGACGAAGACTGAAAATGGTGAGGTGATGATGAAACCAAATAGAGAGACACAAAGACTGAAAGTGAGAGAGAGAGAGAAGAGACACATAGACGGTGGTGATGAAACCAAATAGAGCCGTTGTGCTCTGTTTGGCTAAAAAAAAAGAAAAACAAAAATAACAACAAATAGGTGGACGGTGGTGATGAAACCAAGTAGAGTCGTTGTGCTTTGTTTGGCTAAAAAAATATAAAAACAAAAATAAAAACAAATACCAGTTTGTGTCAAAAATAAATATGTAGTGATATGTTTTTGGGTGGGGTGAATTATATTTAATTTTTTTCCCAATTTGTCAATTTTTTTTCATTCTTATTACAAATTTTGTATAAAATTCTATAAACATATCATTTTTCTACTTGAAATAATCAATCGTGAATTTTGAATTGTACGATTAATTTCATTTAGTATAATATATAATTTATATATACACAAATAAAAATACACAGTAAAATAAAATAAAATAAAAATATATTAATCTAATTAATAATTCGTTTTAAAAAATCAATATATAATTACTTAATTTCTGTTTTTTTAGTCTGCAAAAATATAGTTTTATGCAAGCATAACAGTGTCATGGCGAATCACAACGGAATCATACGATTCACTCAATTTAACATTCCAACAACATGAATTCAACCATTTTTAACTCAATTTAACATTCCAACGACATGAATCCAATCATTTTTAACAAAAAATGGTATCGAATCGTGAATGGTAAAATTCTAACAAACCATACATGCAACTGAAAGATGGACCTGGACTCGGTCTCATTCATGGTGGTGGGCAAGATAGTTCCATTCTTGCAACAAAAGGGCAACTTCCCAACTTTCTCATCATTAGCTTTCTTCTTAGGAAGACCAGAGATGATAGGCCTCCTTTGACACAGTTCATCACAGGAGTGAAATCCATGCCTTGATAGTACTGTCCCTAAGGTCCATAAATACACTCGGATGGGTCCTTCTTGCGAGTATAAGCACCTCTCATGTTAAAAATGAATTCTCCTTTCATCCATTCCCATGTCAAGTTCCAGTGGTCCAAGTGGCCGAGCGGGTGGAAGTTGTCTATCATGACTTGCGCCAGGTAGTCGCCTTCGAACACTTGGAGGATGTAGGTGAGGGAGAGGTCGCCGAATTGACGGGGCAAGAATTTTGTTTTCACTTTATTTATTTACTGTATTGGCTTCCGCCAGGCCCTGTACTCTGTTTTACTGAATTACTGTTCTGTAGGCCTTCGGTAATCTCGGATTACTGGCCGGTTACGGTGCTAAACCCATAGGGCCGGGTTTGGGTCGTGACAGGGAGAGGTCGCCGAATTGACGGGGCAAGAATTTTGTTTTCACTTCCTCCTCCTCTTTGAATTTTGGATCTTTTTTTGGCAGCTTAGGTGCATTGTGGTTGCTATAAAAAGGAAATAGGACAGTTCGACGTTCAAGTCAGTATTGGATGGGAAAAAGTTTGAGCTTTTGAAAGATTGTTTGAATTTGAAAAGAACAAAAACAAATAAGATGTGTGAATTTAAATTTAACGAGATGAGAGTGATATGCTTGGAATGAATTTGGGTCCACAATTTTTTTATTTTTTATTTTGATTATTTTTCGAATTACTTTTTTACCTATTATCTAGTATTGCTGTCAAAATTTTAAACGGTTGGGGATCTTTTGTATTTTGGACCTTTTTTACAATAGATATGCATAGTGTTGCCTGTAAAAAAAGCAAATAGGACGGTGCAATGCTAAAGTCAGTCTTAGAAGAGGAAAAGCTTGGGTTCGAAAGAAGTAATTTGAAAATATAATGATACATACATATTCATAATTTAATTTAAAAATATTAATAGGTAATTTAGATTCATTTTATATGTGAATTGGGAATAAAATGTGATGCAAATGCAAATTTAATATGATAATGTTTAAATGAATATGATCTACACATACATTTTTCTCGTAACTTTTTGAATAACTATTCTATACTCCATAACATTATTGTAAATTTGCAAATGGTTGATGACGATTTTCTATTCCCTTGTCCAAGATCTCCTATTTATTACAGGATTAGAATCAAAGCGATAAATCGTGTAACAAAATAAATAATTAACAAAGTATGTAACAAAAAAAATTGAAAACAGAGATCCAATGCCAACAGTGCAAAGAATTCAATGACAAAGGATTATATTATATCTACACGTAAAAATAGTGATAAAAACTTACCGCGTTTAGTTGGTTTAGGATACTTATATCTAGGAGTGTGCATAATACCGCCAAAACGTTTTGAATCGCTCCAAGGTCCCATTACAATGTTTCAAACATCAGATTAATGTTTCAAACATTAGATTGATGTGCAAATGGGACTAAATGGAGCATAAGAAAACTTTTAGGACTAAATGGTTCAACTTTTCAGAAACTAGGACTTATGGGTAAATTTTCCTTATATTATATCTACACGTAAAAATAGTGATAAAAACTTACCGCGTTTAGTTGGTTTAGGATACTTATATCTACGAGTGTGCATAATACCGCCAAAACGTTTCGAATCGCTCCGATCCGTGCATTTTTTGAACTATGGGGGGCGGGTTGGGCGGGTTGGAGTTCCAACTCTGGTGGGTCGGCGTGGGTGGTGGGTGAAAATTTGCCAAGCTACGGTAATAACCGACCCGACCCGCCTCTGTTGCAAAAAAAAAAATCTTGTGCTACACTACACACACAACATGAAATTTCAGCCATAGATTATACACATACACATCTATCACACAAATACTCACACACACACAATAATTCTTGGGGATGCACCAATAAATCTCAAATTAATAACTTATACACTGTTTAGTCCTAAAAGTTTTCTTATAGACTGAAAGGTCCCATTACAATGTTTCAAACATCAGATTAATGTTTCGAACATTAGATTTCGAACATCAGATTAATGTTTCAAACATTAGATTGATGTGCAAATGGGACTAAATGGAGCATAAGAAAACTTTTAGGACTAAATGGTTCAACTTTTCAGAAACTAGAACTTATGGGTAAATTTTCCATAATTCTTCAACTAAACCTAATTGACCCACACATTTCATCTCATTCATTAATGTTGATTCATCGCCGCTGTCTTTTGGTCTCATTCCTCACCTCGCTGATTGGCTCATCGCCGCTGTAGTCTCTCCTCACCACCGCCGCCGCCGCTGTCTCCTTCCCTTTCCGATCAACGCCTACTCGTCGTCGTCGACTCGTCACTTCGGTACGTGACTCTCTCGCTCTTTCTGCTCTTTTCTCTTTCGCTTCGTTGATCTCACACTCTCTCTCTCTCTTTGCTTTTTTTCTTTTTCTCTCGTTGATCTCTATTTCTTTGTTCTGTACTCTGCAATGTTGTTTGTTTGTTAGCCCTCATTGATATATATTTTACCTGTTGATGGTTTTTTAATATATACTAGGAGAAGCATGACATAATCTGAGGGTATAGATTCAAATATAAATATATATATATATATAACATCATTGACATATATATATATATATATAAATAATCAAAAACCAATTTACTTGTTGTTGGGAAGAAGAAATATATATATACACAAAGATATAAAGTACGAAATAATATTACACTCACCTTGTAATAATTTTTGCAGATCATCAAACTTAGAAAATGTAACAATGGAGAAGATAATATGATTTTCACAGATCATCAAACTTACAAAATGTAATAATGAAAAGGATGAGTTAGTATGAGAAAAGATAGGTAGATGAAAGAAAAAAAAATGGGTAGATTAAAGAGAATGATTGAATTTGATTGAACTATGGAATAAACTGAATACAAAAACGTATATGTAGGAGTTGTAGGAGTTATTGGTGATGGATATGGATAAATATAGATGTGGGAATTGTGGGTGATGGATATAGATGAATGTGGATATAAATGAATATTTTATTATTTCATTTTATATTTTGATTGAATTTGATTGAAATAAGGAATAAACTGAATACAACATTCAGTCCCTCCTCCCCCTCCTCCTCTGCCCTCCTTCAGCCTCTCCCTCTCCCTCCTCCTTCTCTCTCACTTTTTCGAGCCAATTTCGAGCCGAAACTCTCGAGCTACCAATCGCTACCGAAATAAAAAATCAAAAACCAAGTTACCTGTTGATGTTTTTTTAATATATACTAGAAGCATGACACAATCTGAGTCTATAGATTCAAAAAAAAAAAAAAAATTGCTTTACCTGATATGTTCGATATTTGATTTTTTTTTTTATTATAAATAGAGTTCAATATTGTTAAATTCTATTAAATCCAACAAAAGTTTAAGTTCAAATTCAGTATTCAACTTTAATTTCAGTATTCAATTTTAATTTTAGTTCAAATTCAGTATTCAATTTTTTTTTAAAGTTATTTAATTTCAGTATTCAAATTCAAAAGTTCTAGTTCAAAATTTTAAATTTAATTTTATTCTGTCTTCAATTTTACTCTCTGTCTTCTACAACATTTTTTTATAAACTGCCAATCCGCCCGAACCGCCAAGGCAAATCCTCTATTATTTGTCAACCGAACTGCCGGTTTTTGATAAGAAAAATGGCAAATTCTAATTACATTTTTATCAATCCGCCACCCATCACATGGTTTATATTTTTCTCTTAAACCGTACCAACCCGCACCGCGCACGCCCTACTTATATCCGTCATTGACAAGTCGAATAGTCTTGGGCATGAGAGTTCCCTTCTTTAGCCCGAATTGTGTCCCGGTCAGCTCCACCGTGGTTTGAATCTGCGTATAATCCCCGGCAGTCTCAATCGCCGTCTTCAAATCGGTCATCGGGTACCCGGCAAGAGTGGTACCGTTCTTTCCAACCCGAGCCGGGAGGTCCTCCGCATCCATCACCACCGCACCATCCGCGGACACCAAGATCTTATCATATTGAAACCCAACATACACCTTCCACGCCTTGAGCTCATGGGAGCTTTTATTTACACACACAATGTACACTTTCTACACATCCCCCCTCACTACACTTTTTACACACTTCCTTCATTAAGTGTGTGTATAAAGGGGGTTTAGTGTGTGTAAATAGAACCTCCCTAAGCTCATCCACACCAGCATTCAAAACCATCAATTGAGACTTAAATGCCCACGCTTGCGCCGTGATCTTTTATATTTTTTTTTATTAATTTATTTAATTGAGATTGAGATTTATTTTAATTTATTTAAGTTATGTGATAGACATTTAATTTTCTTAAATTTTAGGTAAATTACTTTTGATATGTACAGGAGAGGATTTATAAAAGTTAAAGAAGATATCAACACTATTATACGAGAAGAAACAAATCTAATATGATTAACTTGAAGAACAAATGTAAACCACAAATTTAAAAGCAAGTAAATGTAATAATGAAAAAAATGAAAAGATGTGTAGAAGAACTAAAAAATATTGAGAAAAAGAAATATATACATACAAAAGTAATAAACACTGAAAAAATGCATATAAAGAAAGAAATAATATTAGGAATATAAAAAATGGAGAAGATGAAAAGATGCGTGAATGAATTGAAAAACATTAGGAAAAAGAAAACAAATTGAATTTGATTAAGATGTGTAGATGAATTGAAAAACATTGAGAAAAAGAAATATGTACACACTAATAATAAACATTGAAAAAAAATGCATATAAAATAAGAAATAATATTAGGATAATAAAAATGAAGAAGATGAAAAAGATGTGTCGATGAATTGAAAAATATTGGGAAGAAGAAATATATATATACACAAAGATATAAAGTACGAAATAATATTACACTCACCTTGTAATAATTTTTGCAGATCATCAAACTTAGAAAATGTAACAATGGAGAAGATAATATGATTTTCACAGATCATCAAACTTACAAAATGTAATAATGAAAAGGATGAGTTAGTATGAGAAAAGATAGGTAGATGAAAGAAAAAAAAATGGGTAGATTAAAGAGAATGATTGAATTTGATTGAAATATGGAATAAACTGAATACAAAAACGTATATGTAGGAGTTGTAGGAGTTATAGGTGATGGATATGGATAAATATAGATGTGGGAATTGTGGGTGATGGATATAGATGAATGTGGATATAAATGAATATTTTATTATTTCATTTTATATTTTGATTGAATTTGATTGAAATAAGGAATAAACTGAATACAAAAACGTGTATGTAGGAGTTATAAGTGATGGATATGGATGAATATAGATGTGAGAGATGTGGGTGATGGATATAGATGAATGTGGATATAAATGAATATTTTATTATTTTATTTTATATTTTATTATAGAGAGAGGGAGTGAAAAGGCTTGAATAGTAGGAAGAGAGGTGAAGAGAGGTGTCACGTATTTTTTTATTTTTATAAAATTATGAGAATTTAGGAATAGGTTTTTGGAGCCTTTTGAGAAAACATTACATTTGATTATATATATATAGTATATAGTATAGATATAGATAGATAGATAGATAGATAGATTTGATGGGCAAAATGATCATAAAAATTGAACAATTTAAACCAAGCAAACATTCATTTTTAATTAATTATTTTGACTTTTTTTTTTTTTTTACTTCATGACAAACATGTTTTTGATTTGTTTACTTATTTAGAAAAAACAAAAAATAAAAAATTGGACTTTTTAAACATCCAAACAATCTCATTAAACTCTCTTTTATAATTTAATTTGATGGGCAAAATGGTCATGAAAAATTGAACAATTTAAACCAAGCAAGCATTCAATCTTAATTATTTATTTATTATTTTGAAATGAGAAGTGGAGAAAAAAACGATTGAATCATATGAATTATAGAACTAATCATGATGAATTTTACTCCATCATTGAATCTTATGAAAAAAAAAATAAAAATTACAAATTAAATTATGAAATTGATAGGTTAGAAATGAAATAAAAAATAAAGGGAGCTACTATTCGCACTCCATTTTACTCTAAATATACTTCCTTTTATGTATGAAGAAAATACTAGTATATTTGCAGCAAAATAGAGTGGAAATAGCAAAATAAATAACAATAATTTAGAAATAAAAGTGAAATTAACCTATTTTAATTATTTATTTATTATTTTGAAATGAGAAGTGGAGAAAAAACGAGTGAAAAAGTTATTTGGCTTTTCTTTTTTGTGTGGGTGATTTTTTATTTATTTATTTAGGCTTTTCATCATTTTTTTTTGTGTGCGCGCTTATTTGTGCTAATAACATTTTGATTATTTGGTGTCAACTTATTTAATTGACAATTGAGGAGAAAAAGTTATTTTTAACAAAATCTAATATGTTTGACAAGTAGTTAAAAATTCATTTTTTTTTCTTAGATATTTGTCTTTAGTAATATTTTTATTTTTATTTGTTAGTTTAGAAAGATCTAAAAAAATAAAATAAAATTCGAAACACAAAAAATCCTACCTAATTTTTCTGAAAAAAAAAGAGAGTATTTTTTTAATATTTGCCAAAAGCATATAGTGATGTTTTGGAAACTTGGCTTTTAATCACTTTTTTAAGTTTGTAGTAAACTTAAAAGTTGGTTTTTTTGTATTTAAAGACATTTGGAAAGTTGGTTTTTGGCTACTGGTAAAATTATAATTTTACTCTTCATGGGTCCAAATGTGCTACATGGGTGAAGTTGTAAATATTTTAAATTGAGTGGGGGTAGTTTGGTCATTTTATTATGATTTGACATCATAAACCAACATTAATAAAAAAAAAGTCAAAAGTAACTTTTTATCAACTTCCCAAATCGTTTGTTTAAAGAAGTCAAAAACTTGATTAAAAGCTAAAAAAAATACTTTTTTACTATCTTTCCAAAATAGGCCATAGTAACATTTTTGTAACAACTTTTATTTCAAAAAACAAGAAATTTATTTAAAAAAAAAATAAATTCTGCCAAACAAGCCCGTATTTCAATTTTTTTATTTTTATTTTCCCAATCGTTTAGGTCTCTCTGCCCACCTACTCGCCACTGATCGCAATTCGCAGCTCACTTCTCTACTCTCAAATCGGTTGCCACCAGTTGAAACTGCGCAAAAATCTTGAAAAATTCAAGTAATTTCTTTATCTACATTGAAGAACTCATCAAGTTACACAGTATAGTAGGTTTCATTCAAGTTTGTTCCCACTATAGGTTCTAGATTTTTACTTGTTTCCATTTGGTACTAAAACTGTATAATTTCTCGATTGATTTCCAATTGATGTAAAATTATGTCTGTAAATCTTGTTCATGTACACATACATTCATTGAACACACGCAAGCATATATAAACATAAACTTGTGTATTTTAAGATTTAGGGTGTTCGGTTAATTAGTAAAACCAAATGGGTAGACTCAATTTTTAGTTCCTTAGTAGTACTATTCATGTGCTAAGGGTCATTGGTAGGGTGATAAATGAACCAAATAACTCGAGCTCAACTTGTGTTTGGCTGGTTAAAAGCTCATTTGAGATCTGTTAAATAAACAAACCAATCTTGAACACATTTTTGGAGCTCATTAAAGTTTTTAAACCAGGCTTGAATAGTTAATTATTCGTTTGGCTCAGTTTAATAAGTCTAAAATTATGTAAAGTACCAAACTACTCGAGCTTGGCTTGACAAAAGCTCGTTTGAGATAGCTTGACAGTTTAATGAACCGAACTTGAATAAATTTTGAAACTCGTTAAAGTTTTCAAACCAAGTTTGAACAGTTAACTGTTCAGCTCATTTGGCTCGTTTTTCACCCCCAGTCATTGGGTTATGAAATGAGATCTGTTTGGTTCATTGGAATGAAAAAAACAATGCCCAATAAGTACCCATTAATGGGTGTTTGGGAGGGGTTGCAAATTCAATGAAATGAAACTCATTCCCATGTTGGGTTCACTAAAATTGATGAAAAATGTATTACCAATAGAATTATCATTCATCATTGTAAGCGAATAGTCCATGCTGAGGTTAAGGAATGAGCATTCTATTTTATTTCACTATGGTGAACCAAACAAATCACAATAGTGTGGTGTATGATGATTCCATTTACAATGCATTTTCTATATTTTTTAGTGAACAAAATTTGAGAATGGATCATTCCAGTTATTCCATTTTACCTTTATTACCAAACACTGCCTAAATGTTCTCTGTTTCTCATTTGCTTCAACACTTTTAAGCTTTGGAAGATAGTTGTTAGTTTAGTTAATGTACTGTGGAATTACTTTATGCACTAATATTTTTCTTTAAAAATGTACGGATACTGATCTGTTTGGTATATTATTTCACAAATTTTGTTTCATTTTTTTGGTTCTTTTTGCTTTTTAAGAACAATAAATTGTGATTTTATATGGAAGGTTCCATGACTGCACCATGGTTACTTGTTAGTCTTAAGCATTGGATTCAATTTGTTGTTTCTCTTTTTTTCTTTTTGTCTCTTTTAAATATAATATTTGTACTCACGAATCCCTTTGGTTTGCTGCATCTAATTTAGACCAAGATATTGCTCCAAGTCTCCTAAACATCACTGTATACAACCTCACACATTGATACAACTTGAAAACAGCAGTTTCAGAGGTGATGTTTACATTTTTTTGGGGTAAAAAATAGTATTAAATTTCTAATGGTACCACTATCTTCATTTGTTTAGATGTTGGATGTAAGACAAGAATATGTCGTGGATGCTACTCCTTTGCAAACAAGAACAGGTGAAAAGAGGAAAAGAGAAGGCAGGTTAAAATCTAAGGTTTGGGAACATTTCACAAAACTGGAGAACATGCCCGGAAAACACAAAGAATGTATGTGCAATTACTGTGAAAAGTTATTCTCTTGCTCAAGCACAGCAGGAACAACCCATTTGAAGCGTCACATATTTCTCCGACGGTGTGCAGTTTACAAGAATGAAAATGAGGACAAGTCTCAATCACTTCTGAATTATGAAAAGGGAAGCTTGGAGCAAGCTAGTAATGTTGGCCCATGGAAATTTGATCAAGAGCGTAGTTGGCGTGACCTTACAGAACTTATAATTAATTTGGAGTTGCCGTTTAATTTTGTTGAAGATCCTTCCTTTCAAAAGTATATTTTGGGTATCTACCCGAAGTATAACTTTGTCTCTTCGAACATGGTGAGGAGTGATAGTATAAAATGTTATGAGATTGAGAAAAACATTTTGAAGGAGATTTTGCAAAGTTCAAACCCCAGGGTGTGTTTAACAACTAACGCTTGGACCTCTAGTCAAGGCCTGCAGTATATGGCACTTAAAATTCATTTTATTGATAATGGGTGGAAGTTACAAAAGAGGATCATTAACTTTGTCATGGTTCCGATTGAGGCAAGTGTTGACAATCTTGCGAATATTGTTAAAAATTGCTTGCTAGAGTGGAATATTGAGAAGATTTGCACCATTACATTGGATGATAGTACTGCTAATGATCTTCTTGCAAGAACCCTTTCAGGGCATTATTCTTCTAGAGGCTTGCTATTACTCCAAGGTCGTGCTATTCAGGTGCATTGTTTGGGTCATGTTTTGAACTCAATTGTTCAAGAAGGATTGGATGAGATTAAGGACTCAATTTGTAGAGTTCGCAATGCGGTGAAATATGTGAAGGTAACCCCTAGGAAAAAAGTTGAATTTCTTCATTATGTTGATCAAGAACGTATTCCTCGAGGTAAGATGCTGGTTTTAGATATTTGCACATGGTGGAATTCTACATACAAGATGCTTGGTTCGGCTTTGCATTATAGGAAAGCATACGATCGTATGCGATCATGTGACCCACACTTTAAGGATCCACCTAGTCCTGAGGATTGGGAGAAGGCTAAGATTGTTCATCATTTCCTTGAATCCTTTTTCATTGTGGCTAACACATTTTCCAGAACTAAATATTGTACAGCAAATGTGTTCTTTCAAGAGGTTTATAGGATTCTAATGTTGTTGCGTGAAACAGCCACTGATTTAGGTTCTTTACTTGGAAGGATGGCATTGAATATGCTAGTGAAATTTGAGAAGTATTGGATAGAGAAAGAACCAAACATTTTACTTTCCATGGCTGTTGTTCTTGATCCTAGGTTCAAGCTTAAGTATTTGAGGTTTTGCTACAACAAGATTTATGATTCTAGATTGGTAGGAGATTTGATGGGTCGTGTGGAAGATGAGCTTCGTAAACTTTTTGACGAGTATGTAGCTGAATATGAGGCTTCTCGTATGAAAGACACTTCTAGTAAGAGTTGTGATAAGGGTATTTCATCCGTTACGTGCCCCTCTTCTTTCAAGATAAAAGCAGACTTAATGGAAGAGTTTTACAAGTTTACCGAGGAAGAGATTTTGGAAATTAAGACAGAATTAGATGTCTACATGGAGGAAAAACTCCACCGAAGCAAACTTTCAAGTGATGAGGAAGAATTTGACATTTTGCAATGGTGGAAGGCTAATTCTTCTAGGTTTCAAGTGTTATCTAGGATGGCACGTGACATTTTAGCCATTCCCGTGTCTTCACTTACTTCAGAGTGTGCATTTAGTACTGATGGTAAGGTTCTTAACAAGTTTCATAGTTCATTGCTTCCTTCTACCATTGAGGCATTGGTTTGTACCCAAGATTGGATTCGAGGTGAGCCGGCGCAGACTGAATTTGAGGAGGAAATGGATATGGCTTTTGCAAGTAAGTATAAGTAATCTCATTTTTTAAATTCTAAACTTTTTTTTTTTTAATGTTAAATTTTACTTCTATTTTTTTTTTATACTGTTGATTGATTATTGATTTTTGTTGTTTGAAATTTCCCAGCCCTCAATATATAAAATTTTAAAGCTCGAGGGTTTTTGCTTACTGTGCGATCGGTTCAACAATTCGAAGGGGTCTCAGATTAGCAAATATGCTTGCAAGTCTCAAGTTGGTTTATGATATCCATGATGTGTGCATGAGAGTACAGTTGGCTTGAGAATGAAATTTGAAACATGTATATTCAAATTTGCGAAATGTTGAAAGCATTACAAGTAGTGCGAAGGGAAACTTTTGATCACATGACTTTGTCTACAAAACCATAGCTGGTGGATTTTTTGGAAGCTGGATTTAGAGTCAAAGTTAACTTTTTGATTCTCTTCTTTCTTCAGTAATTAGTTCTGTCAGTGTCGCTCATTCAGTTACCGCATTTTTTAAGTTCAGTGGTGTGGCTTACAGCTTTCTGAGGTTTTAAGTGGAAGAACATAGGAATTTAGCTCAGTGAAGACAATTCATGAGTGGGTGCAGTTGCCCTTGTTCAAGGCTCGATGTATTTGATATACTCTGCCTTTGTTGTTCATTTGGGTAAATCCCGAGTTATATTGTAGACTTAAGCTTGTTGTGTGGAATTAGATTGGCAGATGGCATAGAAATGCACTCTTCACAAGTGCCATTTATAGGAACCTTAATGTCATCAACAGCCGTTCCTGCTTTGATTTCTCAGGCATTGGCTGCATTGTGGATAGTGCTGGTTGAAAATAAATACTGCCAAACTTTTGCCTTAACCTTGTTGAATTTCCCTTTGTGTGTTAAATGAAGAGAGGCTCATATGATATCAGTTCCTAGTTTTTCATGGTGTTACTTCTTGCTGTGTAAACGTACCATTACCTTTCTGAAAAATTAAAATTGTAGTATGGTTTTTACTTGTATTAATCTCATAACTCTCTCTCTCTCTCTCTCTCTCTCTCTATATATATATATATATAAAATTGTAGTATGGTTTTTACTTGTATTAATCTCATAACTCTCTCTCTCTCTCTCTCTATATATATATATATATATATTCTATAAATTTGCAGATGTAGGATGAAGAGATTAAGGAAAGATGAAAAAATTATTTTGAGAAATTATTAAATGAGGAACATGGAGGTACGGCAGCAGAGGAAGAAATAACCAATAATACGATAAATCAAGATTATAGGTTCTATTGCAAGATTAGGAACTTTGAAATGGAGATTGCACTTAAGAAGGTAAAATGAAATAAGGTTTTAGGACCCGATGATATCCTCATTGAAGTTTGGAAGTGTTTGGGTAAAAATGGGATTCATTGAAGTTTGGAAGTGTTTGGGTAAAAATGGGATTGCTTGGTTGACTAGGTTGTTTAGCAAAATTTTGTTGATTAGGAACATATCAGATGTGTGGAGGAAGAGTATTTTAGTGCCAATCTATAAGAATAATCGAGATGTCCAGAATTGCAACAACTACAGAGGAATCAAGTTAATGTGCCATATAATGAAAGTGTGGGAGAGGGTGATGGAACACCGATTGCGAGATATAACAGAGGTGTCAGAGAATCAATTTGGGTTTATGCTTGGCAGGTCAACAATGGAAGCGATCTATCTTTTGAGGAGAGTAATAGAAAAGCATAGAGAAAAGAAAAGAGACATTTATATGCCGTTTATCGACCTTGAGAAAGCATATGATAGAGTGTCTCAGGATATCATATGGCGGGTGTTAGAGAAGAAAGGGGTGACAAAAGGTTACATTGATGTGATTATGGACATGTATAAAGGGGTGGTGACCACTATTAGATCACTTGTTGGAGAAACAAATGAATTTCCCATTACTGTAGGGTTACACCAAGGATCTATATTAAGTCCTTATCTTTTTGCTTTAGTTATGGATGAGTTAACGAGAAATATTCAGGATGATGTGCCATGGTATTTGCTTTTTGCAGACGATATCATGCTAATGGATGAGATTAGAGAAGGAGTAAACATAAAATTGGAGATTTGGTGAAAAACTCTTGAATGGGTTCCAGATAAGCAGAACTAAGACAGAGTACATGGAGTATAAATTTAGTAACAGTAACAATGAAAGCAGAGGAGAAGTAAAGATTGAGAACCAAAAACTGTCTAAAAGTGAACATTTTCGTTATTTAGGGTCGATTATCACAACAGCGGGGGAGATTGATGTGGATATGACCCATAGGATTAAGGCGGGATGGTGTAAGTGGAGAAGTGCATCTGGGGTACTTTGTGATAAACGGATTCCCACTAGACTAAAAGGTAAGTTTTATAGAACGGCTATTAGACCAGCGATGTTGTGTAGGACGAAATGTTTGGTAACGAAGAAACAACATATAGATAAGATGACTATGACTGAGATGAGAATGCTAAGGTGGATGTGTTGCAAGACTAGACAAGATAGAATTATGAATGAGTGCATTCGAGAATGGGTAGGAGTAGTACCGATAGAAGATAAGTTGAGAGAGAATCGATTGAGATGGTTTGGTCATATTCAATGGAGATCAATATAGGCAGTAGAGAAGAGATGCGATACTGTAATGGTAGATGGAAGTATTAGGAGACGGGGTAGGCCTAGATTAATGTTAGCTAGCGTTGTAAATAGAAATATGGATCTACTTAATTTGACTAACGAAATGACCTTTGATAGGACTGTGTAGAGAAAAAGGATTCATGTAGCCGATAGCATTTGATAGGGCTTAAGGCTTAGTTTGCTTTGATTTAGTAAAATGTTGGAATTTGGAAGCCGCCACCACCATATTTCTGCTTTCAGCTGGATAGCAAAGAAAGACTCTTGGTGTTCAGTAGAACGAATTCTCCCAACTGTATGGTCAGTTTCACTCATTCATTACGACTGCTATTATTAGTTTGAGAACACCATGTCAATATGCTGAACAGATTACGCATAACTTTTAAACTACATATTATTTTTTTTTTGAATATTATTATGCAAGTATTAAACGATGAGCCGCCAACAGAGGGGCTAAAAATCCTCTTATCTTCAAATTTCACCGTCCTCTTGTTCCGACACATTTATCATTACTGTCTGAGAATCTCAAAGTAAGAAAATTTTGAGACATAAAAGTACAAATTTTTTTTTTTTTGAAGGATAGGGAAATATGGGACAGTGGATCACTATGGTCTTTCCATTCAACAACATTACATTCATACATAAACAAATGCAAATAATAGTCAAACCTATGGCAAAAGAGGTGAGAATTCAAAAGTTCATAAATTTTGGGAATTTCTTTTTAGGAGAACAAAAATATGTGAACCACCACCAGCAACTCTGCAATTCATGAAACAAAGTTCATGTTCATTTTTTGTATATAAAAATAACTGATAGTAAATGTAGAAATCCCATACAATCAATGGCAGTGTGTGTCTCTCTCGACATGGTTTAACAATTTTCCTCTTCAAAAACATCAGTCTTCCAATGATGGTTCTCTCTTGTTTTGTTCTCCTTCAACATTTGCCTCCATTGCCCCCATTTTCGCTTCACCCCCCCCAAAAAAAGCACACATTCAACAAAATGATCTCTCATAAAAGCTACCAATCCAAAAACTCCAACCGATTTGTAATGAGTAGAAAAGTGATAATCGTGATAAAAATAGCAGGCAGGAAGCCAACGTTTGCCCTGTGTGCCCCACTTTGCTTAGGAAACTCTGGTGGAAGTGCGCATTCTTCCCCGTTAAATACTACTCTAGTTGGAAATCCGTCACCACGTGCCACGTTAATCCCGGGTGTATGTTTCTTTAAAAACGAAATCACCGACTGCTGTTTTCCAGGTACTCTCGGGCCATTCAGAGTAGTCCCATTTGTCTCTCCAACCAAATAATTCAAACCCTTCAATCCTTGGAAAAACACTGTGTTGTTGAGCTCGGGCAGTTTGGTGCCGTTGAAAGAATATACATTTTCGTACCCACGGTAAGCTCTCTTCATCTGGATAGCCGCGAACCAATCCTCAAACGGGGTCTCCAGCCAGTTAAAAAGTGTCATTCGGGCAGTCCACCCGCTCTTGTAATCGGTATCCACATGCCAGTTAATGCTGACACCACAGTTGTCCGGACAGGGCAGCGTTTTGGGCAGGTGGAGATGTTTAATTGCCGCCCAAGCTTTCGCTTTTGTGGTTCGGTTGGCAAAGGGAACAAGCAGAGCCTCGGGTGGGATAGCAAGAGGTCGGGCGTTAGGGTTGCATTTTGTGTCATCATCACAGCCACAAGCGCAGGTGTTGCAGGGGATGACAGCGTCGGCGTAGTACGCAGAGAACGAGACACAGCACCGGGCTTGTTTTGGTTTTGGTCGGGTTATGTTGCAAGTTACTTGCCAGCTAGCTACAGCGGAGCTGGTGGCGGCGAGGCCACTCGAGTCGGGAAATTCACTCGAGTCTATTCTGATTGGAGGGCCGCATTTGTATTGTGGGTTGAGAATGCCGTTGATCTTCCATCGCTGCGGTGGAGTTAGGGCAGTTCGGTTCATGTCCGGAGGCAGTTTATATACCTGTAACCATAATTTTCAAATCGTGAATCGTTTTGTTAAAGAGCAATTATATATGAGTAATGCTATATATCATGAAAATGATCATAAAAAATTCTCCACCGTTAAATTACATATACAAGAAAACACTACACATTAATCAAGGGATGAAAAACCTTCATGAAGTATTTCATGATATTTTTTTCATGATTCCTAATATTATTCATTATATATAAACAAAAAATTTATAGAGAAAGTTTGTACCTAATGATTTAGCTAAATTTTGAGTTTATTATTTCAAAATAAATAGTCAATTGAAATGTTTTTAATTATCAAAGTGATATTTTGGTGCAGAATTCTGTATAAAAATTAGTGGGGTAACATTATACTTTGGTAAAAGATAAATAATATACAATAAAAAATTATATGAAATTTTGTGATGCTTTCATTTACAATGAAAATATCTAATATTGTTCTCATAATTCACAAATGTCGCTCACATAATTCTTATTACAAATTTTGTATAAAATTCTATAAACATATCATTTTTCTACTTGAAATAGTCAATTGTGAATTTTGAATTGTAAGATTAATTTCATTTAGTATAATATATAATATATAATTTATATATACACAAATAAAAATACACACTGAAATAAAATAAATATATATTAATCTAATTAATAATTCGTATAAAAAAATCAATATTAATTTCTGTTCTTTTTATTTTGCAAAAATATAATTTTATGCAAACATAACAGTATCATGGTGAATCACAATAGAATCATACGATTACTCAATTTAATATTCCAACAATATGAATCCAACTATTTTTAACAAAAACCGGTATCCAATGGTGAATAGCAAGATTCTAGCAAACCATACCTGCAACTGAAAGATGGACCTGGACTCGGTCTCATTCATGGTGGTGGGCAAGATAGTTCCATTCTTGCAACAAAAGGGCAACTTCCCAACTTTCTCATCATTAACTTTCTCCCTAGGAAGATCAGAGATGATAGGCCTCCTTTGACAGTTCATCACAGGAGTGAAATCCATGCCTTGATAGTACTGTCCCTGAGGTCCATAAATACACTCGGCTGGGTCCTTCTTGCGAGTATAAGCACCTCTCATGTTAAAAATGAATTCTCCTTTCATCCATTCCCATGTCAAGTTCCAGTGGTCGAGGCGGCCGAGCGGGTGGAAGTTGTCTATCGTGACTTGCGCCAGGTAGTTGCCTTCGAACACCTGGAGGACGTCGTAGGTGAGGGAGAGGTCGCCGAATTGACGGGGCAAGAATTTTGTTTTCACTTCCTTCTTCTTCTTGAATTTTGGATCTTTTTTGCAGCATACGTGCATTGTCGTTGCTGTAAAAAAGAAATAGGACAGTCCGATGTTCAAGTCAGTATTGAATGGGGATTGAGCTTTTGAAAGATTGTTTGAATTTGAAAAAAAACAAAAAAAAAACAAAGAAGATGAGTGAATTTAAATTTAATGCGATAAGAGTGATATACTTGGAATGAATTTGGGTTCACAATTTTTTTTTTTCATATTATTTTTCGAATAACTTTTTTACGTATTATCTAGTATTATTGTCAAAATTTCAAACGGTTGGGGATCTTTTGTATTTTGGATCTTTTTTACAATAGATAGGCATAGTGTTGGCTGTAAAAAAAGCAAACAGGACAGTGCAATGCTAAAGTCAGTATTAGGCCTCGTTTGGCAAGTGGCTTTTTTAGTCAAAAAGTCAAAAAGTCACTAAAAAAATAAAAAAATCAACAATTCATACCAAAAAGTCAAAGATTTCATTTTCTCTTTACTTTTTGCACATCTTTTCGTAAAAAGTCAAAAAGTCATCCCAAACATGCTATTTTTTTTCATCACATTTTAGCTAAAAGTCAAAAAATTACTAAAAAATCTTGTTCCCAAACGAGACATAAGAGGAAAAGCTTGGGGTCAAAAAAGTAATTTGAAAATATAATGATACATACATATTCAAAATTTAATTTAAAAATATTAATATATAATTTAGATTCATTCTATATGTGAATTACAAATAAAATGTTTGTAAATGCAAATTTAATGTGATATGAGTCACACTTTAAATGAATATCAGCCACACATTTCATTTTTCTCGTAACTTTTTGAATAACCTTTTTATACACCATAACATTCTTATAAAATTACAAATGGTTGATGATGACGTTCTATTCCGTAGTTCAAGATCTCCTCTTTATTATAGGATTAGAATCAAAGAGATAAATCGTGTAACAAAATGAATAATTAAATAATGTATGTAACAAAAAAATTTGAAAACAGAGATCCAATGTCAACAGTGTAAAGAATTCAACGACCAAGAATTATATTATATCTAGTTGTGTGATTGAATTCTGTACACATAAAAATACTGATAAAAACTTACTGTGTTTAGTTGGTTTAGGACACTTATATCCGTCATTGACAAGCCGAATAGTCTTGGGCATCGGAGTTCCCTTCTTCAGTCCGAATTGTGTACCGGTCAGCTCCACCGTGGTTTGAATCTGCGTAGAATCCCCGGCAGTCTCAATCGCCGTCTTCAAATCGGTCATCGGGTACCCGGCAAGGGTGGTCCCGTTCTTTCCAACCCGAGCCGGAAGGTCCTCGGCATCCATAACCACCGCACCATCCGCGGACACCAAGATCTCATCATATTGAAACCCAACATACACCTTCCACGCCATGAGCTCATCCACACCAGCATTCAAAACCATCAATTGAGACTTAAATGCCCACGCTTGCGCTGTAGCGTTCTTCACAAAAGGGTATTCCTTCTCGCGAGACGTGAACGTGTACCCAATGTAGATCCCGTCGCAGGTATCTTGAGCTGGAGGCGGAGCAGCAACGGCAGGAGTGTCACCACCGCCACTGCCACCGCCACCACCACCACCACCGGCGCCGAACTCGTAGTCATTAGCCTTTTGACCATTACATATATGAATGCTATGACAAAACAAGAATAAAACGATGTAAGGCACCACTTTCCATGGTATTTTCATACCGGGAAATGTATCGGTGACTCTGGTTTTCGTCGTCGTCAAGGTGGCTGGTTGAAGGACGAGAACGATGGTGGATTGCCTGCCGTGTGAGAACACACGGCGAGAGAGGGAGAGAGAGGTGATGGAGCAAAATGGGGGAGAGTATGAGGGGAAAAAAAGAAAACAAAGTATGAGATTGTTGTGAAATGCTTATATTAGAAAGAGAAAAGAGTTAGACTTATTCAGATGAATTCTCTTCCTCTAGTTTAGCGACATTTCAGTGAGAGTTATTGCATGTATATATATGGGGAGTTATGTACGTGCATGCGAGCTGTTAATAATAGTGTGTCAAGGATTCTCTCTTCTCAAAGTCCGGTCTTTTGTCCACTTTCAATTGTCTGATACAGTGATGAAAATATAATTCTGCGACTAAAAATAGATGAAGGACTAATTTTTAAGACAAAAAATCTCTATGCCAGCCTAAAACAACACATAACGAGTGTTCGTAGTTTCGATAGTTTGTCTTATTTTTAAGAGAGATTATAGAATGTTCTTGGAAATTATAGAGTATCTATATTTCTTAATTAATTATCATTTAATATGTTTTATCATGTTCTCCAATCACTCAACATAATACATCACCTACTCACTTTCTCTACCAATTACAATATTATGAAATACCACGTATCTATATTCCAGAATTACTGAACCCATTTTTAGCTACCCTTTGTCCATCTTATTACATCACCACCGTTTACATTTGATGCTTATCAATTTTGAAATAAGAAGATATGAAAATTGATAAACGTGGTGACGTGGCTAGTTATTACAAAGCCAGAAGGCATTTAGAGAAAATTACGATGAAAAAATATTATTTTAATTATTAAATTTAATATAAGTTTACATAAAATATATAAAATATTATTTTTTATTAATTTTAATGACTAAAATATGCTTTTTTTTGTTAATTTTAATTAATAAAAATAGACAAATGATTTAAATTAAAAATAAATTTGAAAATTAAGATTTAAATTTAAAAAGTCTAAAATTCAAAATTATTGAATTATATCAAACTTGAGGGCTTTTTTTTTGTTTTTTTTTGCTATATAATTTTCCTAAAATGTAATGTTACAACTTATTGGGAATGAGTTTGTCATTCTTGGTTCTCGTTTTCCTCATCACAGAGTTTGAGAGCTAAATCTACACACACACAAAACACTTATAGTTTTTTTTATTTATTTAAAGAAAACAACAGTCGTACGGATAATTGTGAGAAAGAAAATGATTGACTAATATGTACATATAATCCTTTCTTAATGGGATTTAGTTTTGAACTTTTTTTTTTTGTTGTGATTTTTAAACTTTTTTAATCAAAAAATACTTACCAAACGAGTCCTTAAGTCAAAATGGAGCAAACATACTATTACCTCAATGCTAGTTCATGATTGATTCATGCCACATGGTTACAAAAAGAATGAACAATTAGTCATGTTATCTAAACCATTTGTAATACAATGTACTCAATCAAAATCAGAGTGAGGAAGCAAAGTAGAGATGTTCCTCACCTCGTTTATATTATAAACAGAAAAAAAAAAAAGAAGAGAAAAAGTTGAACCAAAATGACTATCATATGATTAATTTCAACAAAATAAACATTTGCTTAATATTACAAATTAACAAATGAAAGTTGATGTTTGATTATATTTCAAAACAGTGTTACATACCACAAAAAACTCACCGGTAAATTCACTATAACTACAAAAGTGCATTACAGACCTTTTCATTCACTACCACTTGTAAATTCATCTAAAAAAGTCCAAAAACTAAAAAGCAAAAAAAAAAAAAAAAGAAAAAAGAAAAAGAAAAAAGAAAAAAAGGTGTAAGCCTACAATGCTAAATGCACTTGATTTATTTCCTTTTATCTAAATGACATAAACAAAATAACTTCACAAGTCAAGCTGCAGTTATCTCTTCTACATTGCCGATTTCCTCGACAAATTGGGCTTTCGGCTCCAAATCTATGAACTGGTTGGACTTGCTCGCTAAGTGCCAGATGCTAACCCTCCCCTCGCGCTTGATATAATCAGCAACAGCTTGCATTTCTTCCAGTGAGATGTATATGTACTTTCCTCTATCATCCATGACACCAGATAGTCGCCCTAATAGAAACAACATATCCAAAATTGCATTTATCCATGAGGGTATTGCAGTTTCTTTATAAATATGATTCACAGGTAGTCCTTTAGTATTGCAAGTAATAAATAAAGTGGGAGGATGATTTTACTTCATTTTCAACAATGGCACTAAAATACAAAATAAACATTACATACAACCTTGGAATAAATAATTCAAATTAAAGCACAATAGAACAAAATACACTGCCGCTGTGTTTGGTTGAGGAATTTAGGAAGAGATTGGAAAGGAAAAGGGAAAGAAAAAAGGTGTGTGAAAATAGATAAAATATAGGCATATTTTATTTACATTTCACCTGATTTTTCTTTTCCGTTTCCAAATTCCTTCCCAAATTCTCCAACTAAAGGCAGCATACATGTCATTTTGGCAGCAAAGCAAGCCGAGACTTGGCTAACAACAAGGAGGTAGTCAAGGAGGATCTATCCTTAATATATCACTTACGCTGTGTTTGGTTGGGATATTTGAGAAGAGATTTCGAAAAGAAAAGGAAAAATATATGTGAAACTAGGTAAAATGTAAATATATTTTATTCACATTGCACCTACCTTTTCTATTTCTCTTTTCAAATTTTTTCCCAAATCCCTCAACCAAACACAATGTTAGTAGTGATACTAGAAGTATGCAGGATGATACCACCACGTTCTTCACACAAGATTCTATAGAATAATTACAGAATAAATTTTTTGGCAATCATCAACAAACTATCAGGATAAGTGAAAACATGAAAATGGGGGCAGCAACAGCGGTAGCAGAAAAGAATAGTTATATACAAAGGGGCATCCAGAAAAGCCTACGATTATCCTTAACAGATGATAAATAACATATGACAGCAATGAAGAATTAAAGTAGATAAGTTATCCATGCTTGGACTTAGAATCCAATTTTAAATCAGTTGAAGAGTGGCATGGTGGGTAGGGTTGCGCCCTCGAGCCTGACCAGTTGCAACAATCAGCGTCGAATAATTAAAAAAAGATAAATCCAGAGCAAACCAAAGAAAATCAAAACATACCCATAGTTTCCAGCGAGGTGATTCGATTGATACAATCCTGCATTATTAAGCATAAGTTGTATGATCAGGATGCGATGTCAAATAGACAAATACATAAAACACTTGGAACCATCTCAAGCATGCTTGCTTAATTACAAAATATAGGATTAAAAAGAAACAATATTGAAATTGATTTATTTGTATATTTTAAATCACAATGGCCCCTCAAGTGTATCTTAAACATAAGAAATTGTACAATCAGTGGGAAGCCAACCAACAATTCTATGGAGTACTAGTTCAAGGAGGTGTCGCGTAGGCCCTTTCGTAACAAAAGAACTCCCAAGCAGTTAACTGATTTAACATATAATTATTGAACTATTCCACTGTTGGGACATACAAGCTTGAAGGGGAAATAGCTGAAGGAGTGATGGTGATGGCTTACCTGAGTTCGTAACTTGAATTCTGCAGCGAGATCTTCCAAAGGGATGCATTTATGCTTCTGCAAGGTCATAATACAAAGGTAAAAATAAAGAAAGAATAAAAAATAGACCACAAGTACTTTTAGTTCTAAGCCTCATAATCATCTATTACAATCTCTATGGCATAGTTTATACACACCCGTAAATGCATCCTTACAAACCTTTTATACATGTACTCGACTCCAAATAACAAAATTATTTAATTATTCAACGAGAGACGAAAAATAAAATAGAGGTTTAGAGATGCCTTCTGTTCAGGGTTTTAAACATATATCCACTTTAAAAAGGTTGCATGCATCTTACCAAGTAAACAACAGAATCCTTGTTCTAAAGAGACGAGTCAAATTGTTAGAAGAGCTAAAAGCTACCTTAATGTATTCTACAAAATCAAAAAGCAAGCCCTGGCTTCCATCTTGCACTTCATTTTCTGTTGTACCTTCAGCATCAATAGAAAATTCTCCTTTCCACTTTTCGAACTCCAAAGCAGCAGCTTCTTCCTCCTTGGCCTTTCGTGCCATGGCTTCTTCTTCCTGCAGAAATCTTGTTAATTGCTTCAACAAGTAATCCAACAATGTAAAAATTCTGAAAATTCCCCAAAAATTTAGGTAATCAACCAACCAGCTGACGTTCTATTGCTTCACGCTCCTCATCTTTCCTCCTTCGCATTTCTGAATAACGATCTTGTTTTGTTCCCCTTGACTCACGCGCAGCCTCTTCAGCCTTCAAAATTCAATAATCTGGAAATTAGTATAGAAAAATACCCAAAACAGGAAAAAAGATAAAAAGGTCATAGCGTGAAGTCAATGACCATGTTCACCTCATTTTACATTCAAGAAGTAGCATTCTTTAAATTTTTCTAAAAGTTCAATATTGTGAACAGTTCTAAAGAGTTTTCGTAACCACATTATTGATTATACAATGAACATAGTTAGACACATAACCGAAAATGAAGAAATGACCAAGGACAAGAAAAAGAACACAAAAGTATATCAGAGCGATGGTTTTGCACCTGTCGTTGTGCCTCCCGCTCTTGCCGTTTCTTTCCCTTTTTCTTTGATCCTTTAGCATTATATTCCTCTCCTTCAGCAACTTCGTCATCACTTTCATCAACAATTTCTGCAGTTCACATTTAAAAATAAAAAATAAAAAAATCTGTCATTTCACTAAAAAAATCCAAACGAAAAGTATAAACATTCCAATTTATAGAGAATACTACAGGATATTGATTACGAAGAGTACTATAAAGATCATATCAATCCCACTTTCCTTGTTAAAAAAATCCATTAACGAGCATGAAAATGGTTAGGAACACAGACGAGCAAACATAAACAAAACATTATCCAGAAATCTCAAGCCTCCTAGGACATCCACAGACGTATCAAAAGAAAATATGAACACATCTGACACGAAAGAATGGGGTGCTCCACATCAACTGCTTCAATTAGTGAAGTGACATTTGCATGGCTCCAAAGATTTGCGCATTACATTTTTTTATAGGCACTCACTCCACATGAGACTCTGAGACATAAAGGTATTTTCTCCACTCCCACCTGACCCCCTTTATTTTCCAAGGCCCTGGTCAATTGCCCTCCTCATCAAGTTGTCATTTACACACCAGTCGAGAATTCACGAGGGAAAAAAGAAGACAGCACAAACCCCAAACCCCAAACAACACTACAATGTAACGAGAGCCGACAAACAGTTGTCTTGGCCCTCATGCACATGTAACACCAATCAAAAATCACTTTCCCACTTCATATTAAGTTGCAAGTGGTCAATGTAGACCACCAAGCCAGAAAAAATCACTTTAGATGACAGCTTAACAACACGCCACATGCCTTGCCAAGAGAAGCTCAGAACAAACATTGTTCTTGGAAAAATTATCATTGCCCAAACTAACCAATTCTTTAAGAACATAGAAATATAAACCCACCAAGGTAAGCTAACGTCAGTGTCACAGACAGATGAGTATCTTTACAAGATTACAAATGTATCTGTTCTTTTCTTTTTTGGGAGGGAGGGTGGCGAGGGTATTTGGAGCTTTGCCCCAACAGTCCTTCGCTACATACAGTCCAATATCCCACATATACATATGGCCAATTGACAGGCATAGGCCCTGGGGTGGCCCAATGGGGGGCAAAGCAACGGGCAACTTTGCAAGTAATTGGTTGTCCGGGAGGACAACCGGCCGGTAATCCGGTGAAACGCAACAGCTCTCTCCAAAAATTTGATGAACGATGAAGCCTCTCTCGATTTGATGAAACATTTGCTTTTCCCCTCATTTGATATAGGTTTGATGCTAGGGTCGGAGGAGAAAAAGTGTGTTTCATCAAATTTAAATTTGATTTCAAATCTGAGTAAGCATCAGAGACGCTCTAATGCTTCATCTTTTTAAATTTTCATCAAATTCAAATTTCACGAGTTCTCAATTTGATGAAAAAAAATGGACTCATTTGATGAAAATTTGACGAAAGGATTGGAGATGTTTTTGAGTACTTTTTCATCAAATTTAAATTCGATGAAAGAAAATGCAAAGGGATTTAAACCATAGAGATTAATTCCAAATGTATCATTCTCTAACACTTTTTTTCATGGATTGGATTACCAAAAAGGCAAAGCAGCACATACTAAATCTTCTAAAAAATACACTAACCTTCTAGTGGGGCTGAAGAGGAGCTGGCAGCAGAAGCTGGTCTCCGCCGCATCCGACGAGCACCAGTTGCTCGCACTACAGTTTCCCTCTGCCGAACCTCCTGTACATTCCAGGCATCAAAACAACCAAATAATTCAGACAATAAAACACAAATAACAACCAATTACACCAATAGCAATCTCAAAACATTCAAAACCATCGTTCATGGCTAATTGAAGGACCAAATGTTGTAAAAAATTGTAAAACCAAACCTGAACATCTTCTTCTTCTCTGTCATAGGGAGATGGAGAAACCTGACGACGCTTCCACAGATAGAGCGGAATCAAAGCCAGAACGAGAAGCATAGAAAGAATCGCCACCAAAAAATCCTCCATTCTTTTTTCAGATTCTTGTCTTCTTCGACTAGTTTTTTTCAACACAGATCAATTGTGAGAGGGTTTCGTCAAAATTAGGGTTAGGGTTTGAAAAGTGAAATTCTAGGGTTTAAGGAAATGTAATTGGAGACCGCAGATTGGAGTATTTGATCTGAGAGTAGATAGAGAGCGATGAGAATCAACCCCCCAAGTTTCGATTAAGAGCTTTTTTTAAGTTAGGGGGAAAGAACTTTCGCGTACAGGGGAGATTGGACCTTCTCCTTTACAAATTCAGATGCGAAGGGAGTATAGATACTACAGAGTAACGACGTCGCTTAAGATTGCGTATTTTCTTGGAATTTTGTTTTTGATTTATTAAAAAAATCTTCGTCTATAGACTATACAAACGAAAATTACAAACAAATAAAATAACAATATTATAGTTTGATTCTTATAACAAATTAAATTTTAAGGTTATTTTTATTTTTATTTTTTTCAATACAATTCCAAATGTTTGTCTATTTTTATTTACTTAATTTGAGTTTAGTCATTATATTTAGAGTATCTCCAATCATACTCTCTAAAATGTTTCTTCAAAGTACACAGAAAACTACCTTCTTTATTTTTGCCTAACTAGTTTAGCTAGTGTACACTCCAATCATACTCTTTATTTTAGCTAACCAATCAAACTAACTTAACTAATTTTTAAAAGAAAACTATTATAATCATTAATAAATAAATAATCTTATTTATTTAAAATATAAATATATAATTATTATTTATAAAAAAATATATAATTAAATTATTTATAAAAAAAATATTTTCAAACGATCATATTATCTCAACGGTCATATTTTCGAACGATAATATTCTCCCAGCGGTCATATTTTCAAACGGTAATATTCTCCCAACGGTCATATTTTCAAACGGTATTATTCTTTAACGATAATATTCTCTAACGGATATATTCGTAACGGTCATATATTTTTGTTTATAAAAAAGATTTGCCTTTTCATTTTTACTAATTTGAACTATATTTCTTAACTTCATTCATTTTTTAATTACCATGGCTTGCAATACCATGAAAATGATTCTTAACGACTTTGACGGTGATGACGAATTGCAGCTAATAACGATAGCTACAATGGAAGAAGAGCGACTCAATAGAGAAAGATGTTCGAGAAGACGTAGTGGTTCCATCAAAGGCCATGTAGTTATTTATCGCGATCGAGTTCAAAGCCATGAGAGACTTTATTGAGACTACTTCTCAGAAACATCTATATATCCTGTCCATTTATTTAGGAGGAGATTCCGGATGAATCGATCTCTCTTTCTTCATATTCTATCTACGGTGGAAGCATACGATCCATATTTTGTCCAGAAAACAGATGTTGTTGGAATCATTGGTTTGTCTTCCCTTCAGAAAATGACAGCTGCTATGAGGATGCTCGCTTATGGAGTAGTAGCAGATTGAGTGGATGATTATGTGAGAATTGGTGAAAACACCGCCATAGAGAGTCTAAAACACTTTGTTAAGGCGGTGGTTGCAATGTTTTTTGAGAGGTACTTGAGGAGCCCTAACAGCGATGATATTTCAAGATTATTAGCGATGGGAAGCAATCGCGGGTTTCTTGGTATGTTAGGGAGCATTGATTGTATGCATTGGAAGTGGAAAAATTGTCCTACTACACAGAAAGGTATGTATTTTGGTCACATCCATGAACCAACTATTATTTTAGAGGCTGTAGCTTCTCAAGATTTATGGATATGGCATGACTTTTTTGGGATGCCTGGATCTCATAACGACATCAATGTATTAGATCGTTCTTTTGTAATTTCACTCCTTACTCAAGGTCGTGCTCCTCCAGTCAATTACTCAATCAATGGAAATGATTATACAATGAGATACTATCTTGCCGATGGTATATATCCGCAATGGGCAACATTTGTCAAAATAATCTCATTTCTACAAGGGAATAAACAAATATATTTTGCAAAAGCTCAAGAATCGACGAGGAAGGATGTTGAGCGAGCATTTGGTGTGCTCCAAGCACGTTTTGCGATTATACAAGGACCTGTACGTTTTTGGAAAATGAAAATAATGGAAGATATTATGATGGCATGCATAATAATACATAACATGATTGTTTATACAATGAGATACTATCTTGCCGATGGTATATATCCGCAATGGGCAACATTTGTCAAAATAATCTCATTTCTACAAGGGAATAAACAAATATATTTTGCAAAAGCTCAAGAATCGGCAAGGAAGGATGTTGAGCGAGCATTTGGTGTGCTCCAAGCACGTTTTGCGATTATACAAGGACCTGTACGTTTTTGGAAAACGAAAATAATGGAAGATATTATGATGGCATGCATAATAATGCATAACATGATTGTTGAAGATGAGAGGAATGCCAATGGAATGGATTTTAATTATGATACAATTAGTGAAAGTCTTCCACCAGTGTCTCATGAGCGTACACCATAACTTTTTGAATTCATTCAAAATCATCATCGCATCAGAGATATAGGAACTCACTCCAAACTCAAACAGGACTTGGTTGAACACTTGTGGACACTACATGGAGACTCCTTGTGAGAAATACTAGTTGGTTCTTATTCATTTCTGTACTAGTTTATATGCTTTAGTGAGTGTGTTTTCAAAAATATTTGTACTACTTTATGTGCTTTCAATAATATATTACTAGTGATTTGTTTTTAATCTATGATCTTTAGTGATACTTAGAATAAATTTTTTCTATCAATAAATCCCTAACTTATTTTTGGAAAAAAAAATTATAATCATTGATATAAAACAATAAAACAATATATCATTGCAGCTTGTATCATATTTACTCTAAATAAAACAATACAAAATGTGCTAGCAACAAGCCATATAAAAGTGATGTAATGAATTTAGCTATTTAACAAACCATCAGCAACAACAAGCAGCAACCCCAACTGAAACTATCCCAAAACATCACAAAATATCTCTATTTTCAGCAGCATGACAACTCAGCAAAGCAACCCCAACTAATACAAGATGTGCCAGCAAACCCAAAAATAAAATACAATCAAATTTAAATTAAATAAAAACATAGTTTTAATGCCAAATAGAAACAATTAATTCATTTTTTCCAGGATTTGCATATGACATTGGTGAATATATTGTGCTTGCTATGGAGGCATCATACTTGTATCCATTGACATGATTCTCTCTTCCTCTCTTCCTTCCTCCAATGCAATCCTTCGTTCCTCTCTCATTTCCTCATTTTCAATCCTCCGTTCCTCTTGAAGATAAGATTTCTCAAATATCTCTATTTTCTTCTCATTTGTTATGTCATTCTTTACCTTTATCTTTTCCAAGAGCTTCACAAAAGGCGACTCTATAACATTATTTCCAAGATCTTTGGCTTTGTTTTTCTTTGCGGCCTTCCTTTCTGCTGGTCTTTCCACAACATCATAGTTATCATTGTCCCCTAAATTTACTGAATCTGGTGTACAAGGGGTAGACGTTGCTGGAGATGCATTTTTTGTGCTTTTTTGCTTCTTCGTTGTTGTATCTTCCATCCATTTTGGTTAGGATCTCAATTCATTCCAATAATGCTCAAAGGGAAAGTTCGATTGATGCAAGTCTTTGTACAATTTTTTCGTATCCCGAATCTAAAAAATAGATTAAAGAATAGTCACTATCATGTAATGAATAATATATATTCAGTATAGGTACAAAATTAAATTCTAGTAATACCTTGTCTTTTTCAGTCGAACCACTTCGATTCAACCGTTCAACTTGAGCAAAACATCCACAAAATTTATTTGTGGCAAGTTGAATCGTTGACCATCGATTCATTAGAGAAGTTTGAGTTCTTTCAGAATCGAACGTTTTGTACTTGTTGAAGTTCTCTCACACTCTTAACGAATATGCCTTTGACTTTTGCTCATTTCCTCTAATTGGATCTAAGCTAAAATTAAGCCATGAAGATATGAGCATCATGTCTTCCTCTATGGTGAAGTTTCCTTTGCGTTGTGATATCTTTGTGGTTTGAGTAATAATTTATGGAGAGAATGATAAAGATTGACTCTCTTGTTGAGGAGATTCAGTGGTAAAATCATGGTCAAGGTCAAACTCATCATTCATTAGGTTGCTAAAATATGCATTTCCTTGATATTCCATCTAAAGCATAATTGTTCATACCACACAAAAAGAAAAAAAAAAGAAGAAAAAGTATCAATTCATGGCCTAATTCCAAAAATAATGAATTTCAGAAGGGTGGACATAATACACTCAGAGTGAGCCATACCTGCAAAGTTATCAACTAAAGAAGCTAGATCTACCTATAGTTTGGAGGCAACTCCTTACTCAAAGGATTAAAAATTCATTAGCTCCTAATGCTAAGGTAGCTAATGACAACAAAATCAAATGCTTGTTTATAAAAATATTAAAAAATAAATAAATAAAAATTAAGTTAAAAAAGGAAAAATACAGCAATAGCAGCAAAGAGGAGGAGGAGGAGGAAGATGAGCACCAGTAAAAATATCTGAAAGCAAATAAAAACAATAGATAGATTTATCATTCACAGAATTAATATTATAAAAGCTATGATACAAAGTACCAGCTAGTCTTGTACTTAATATGCAGTTTTAAACAACAATGACTAGTAAGTATGTGTCTTAACCATAACTAAAAACTGAGTTCAAATATGTAGAAGTTGACTATGCAACATTTATCATGCCACAACTTTGCAACAAAGTGAACCACATGTATTTCAATCCAAAAAAATAAAAACTATGCAGCACAAAAATAATATTCCAAAAGCCAGTCACAAAATAAAAATTAAAGAGGATCCTTAATTAATTCATTACGAGTCAATATATCTGTACCTGCATTGCAGGAAGAGGCTCTGTTGTTGATGAACCCATTAGTCCACTGTCAACACAGAAATATAGAAGATAATTGAAATGAGTAATCGCATGAATTTAAGTACATCAATAAGAATGTTATGCTAAAACTTATATATCCAATCCAAGAGACTCATCAATTCAATATACCACTACAAGAACTAGTGGTTCCACACAAAATAAGTGTTATGAGTGTGTATATACTAACCAGGGGGAAAAATGCTAAACATGCCCCAAGTGTTATAACAAAACACCAACCAAAATCAATGAAACCTTGATAATGTATTTGGTTGCTTATAAAATGCAAGAACAAAAACTTAGCCTTTGATTTTTCTTTATTCGATTACATCCTCAAATGCTTCATGAAAAGTAAAAAAAGGCAATATATATATATATATATTGTCACGACTCAAATACGGTACCCAAAAACTCGGTGTCATAACAAGATAAACATAAAATAATTCAAATAATTTTGTAGTCGTAGCGCAAGCGGTTAAATTAAAATAAAATAATTAGGTACCAAATGTTTAATAAAATGAAACAAACATAGTCAATTGAGCTTTATTGTATTACAAGAGTTCGGAAGAAAAACAGATAGAAATCTTAAAAATAAAAAAAACAACACAGCGATTCATTCCCCATTTTGATCCCGCTAAACTTTGTCACCTGAAAGGGGTAACAGCTATAAGCACATAGCAGAGTGAGAAATATTATACTGTGAGTATATGGGCATCAAAATAGCCATGGATAGTTATTTAGGCTAAAACATTAACATAATTTGAGTTGAATACATAAATTAATTAAGTGGCAGAACTGAAATAAATAACTACAACCACGGTACAGAATAGAACAAAACAGGGGTCACTAGAGTGACAATCAGAACATCGGTGGTCAAACAGAGGTCAATGGATTTATGACAAAGAGGGGACCACAAGGTGGTCAAACAGGGGCCAATGGTTATTTAAGTCCCCCAAGGCATGGGACTCTCGTGGTGGTACTTACAGAAAATAATTGTTTATAAGATTATAGTCAAATATTCTTTAAAATATAAACAAACATGTCCATGGGTTTTAATTTACGCAAATAGAGTTCATGAAAATATCCACGTAATTGAAACATTAACCTAACCATAAACATAAGTTATATAAAATGAATTGTGATAACTCAAAACATTCATAAAATATATTATGGTAACTCAAGACATGTAGAAAACATATAATAGTAACTCAAAGTATAATAAAACTCACCTCTAGTATAAATTTATCCCTTTTTTTCCCTCGCTCCAAGGCCTCACTTGTTACGTTCCTCTTTACTTGCTTCGTTTCTGTGCTTCATCAATCTACTTCGCTTCACTATTTATATCCACAAAAAGTGTGAGGCCCAAGCAAGAGTCACATACGTGGCAGCATTTCACTATCCCCCCCTGATTTACCCTTTTACTTTGACCTTTATACTTTGATCCTTATCTTGATACAAGAGTCTTATCCCTTGGCTTTAACCCTTATTCTGTACCAAGAGTCACCTAGGTCTTGAGAATTGAATTATAAGTTTAAAGGGTTCTCATCCTCTTTGGTAATCCACAATGATCCTTAAAAATTACATATAATGATAAGTTAGGTTCGCGTCTAAAAATCTCACCATCCAACTATAAAACATTACTTACCACTTACTAAAATATTTAACGTGCGGTGTCTCACAATCAATTTAATCGATTAATTCTGAATTTCCTAAACTATGCATTTATTTACTCATTTATTTTTTATTATTATTATTATTATTATTATTATTATTATTATTATTATTATTATTATTATTTTTGAGTTCTATTTATTGAAATACTAAAAAAACAAAATTCGGGTGTCATATTTCTTCTCTCCTTAAAAGAAGTTTGTTCCCAAACTTGATGTACCTCGGTTTTCGAAAAGGTGTGGATATTTGGCTCGCATTTGACTTTCAGTTTCCCACGTTGCTTCTTCGACACAATGGTTTCTCCATAAGACTTTTACGAGAGGTATAGTCTTATTTCGAAGAATCTGATCACGGTGATCAAGAATCTGTACAGGTTGCTCTTCATAAGAGAGGTCTTTTTGAATTTCCAGGTTCTCATGATCGACAACATGCTCTGGATCTCGAAGATATCGACGAAGCATTGAAACGTGAAACACGTTATGGACATTAGACAGTTTGGGTGGAAGTGCAAGGCGATATGCCACAGGACCAATCCTTTCGAGTATCTTGAATGGGCCAATGTAACGTGGGTTTAACTTTCCTCGCTTTCCAAATCGGATAACCCCTCTTGTTGGTGAGGTTTTTAGGAACACATGATTGCCTATTTGAAACTCTAAGTCTCGTCTTCGTGTATCTGCATAGCTTTTCTAGCGACTTTGGGCAGTGTGAATTCTTTGCTGGATGAGTTGAATTTTATCACTTGTTATTTGCGCGATCTCGGGGCCTAGGAATTTCCTGTCTCCGACTTTAGTCCTACACAGAGGGGATTGACATTTCCTTCCGTATAGTGCCTCGTATGGTGCCATTCCAATGCTTGCATGGTAGCTGTTATTATAGGCAAATTCTAGCAAAGGTAGGTGA